CTCAGTCGTGGGACAAATAGAACAACCTAGAAAGTTCCTGACAGGTCGACTTCATACTAAGACGAATCGCCCATAGACAGAAACAACTGATGCAAGATCAATCCCAAACATCACCTTTGATACAGGTCACCGACCAGTGATGATGACGAGTAAAAGACCCATGCGAAAACAGAAGAAACATTCAGAGAAAATTAATTTACAAAAACTCAATGAAGAGGGCAGTGTGCAGAAAATTGAGGACGAGACTAGAAAACCGAGACACCAGTTCGATGAACGTTGAAGAAACGTGGACTCTCTTTAAAACTTACTAACAGAAACACTGATAAAAGTATGTGGAAAGAAGAGAATGGGGAGAGGATACGTTAAGGGAACACCATGGAGGAATGACAACGTTAAAGAGGCCATGAAAGAAAAGAAGAAACTTTTTCAGAAATGGATAAAATCCCAGGACGAAAAAGACTACACGCAATACAGACTAGCAAGAAGGAACTGCAAAAGAGTTGTTAGAGCATCAAAAATGAATCTTGGACAAAATATGGAGAACACCAAAGCGATCTGTGCCATAAATCACCACGTGACCTCTACAGAAGTGTAAAATCAATGAGGCTCAGAGAAGAACCGTACGACCCAACAGCTATTTAATTAATGACAAAACAGGAAAATCCATTATCGAAGGCTCAAAAATTAAATCTAGATGGAGGGAATATTTCCCAGAACTCTTGAACACCACCAAAAGCAAACAAACAAAGAATTCCAACCCAGTCACACAACGGAAGAAGAACCAACTATCCTACCATCAGAGGTCAGACGAGCAGTTAAAACCAGCCTAAAAAAAACAAGCGCAGGAATAGATGAGCTCACCACGGAGACCACCCTAACATGTGGTGATACTGGAATAACTTGGCTCACAAAAATCTTCCAGAAAGCATGGACAGAAAGAAAAATTCCCGGCGACTGGCAAAAAGCGGTCATCGTACCAATCTGGAAGAAGAAAAGCAGTAAGAGAGACTGTGGAATGTATAGATGCATTTCACTGCTAAGCCGTGTGGGCAAGATGTTAACAAAGATATTGGAATGACGAACAAGACACAAAGTTGAACCATTTTTGAGTGAGATCCAAATTGATGGGATTTAGAAAGGGAAGAGGATGCGCCGACGCAATAATTGCCCTACGACAAATGTACGAAAGGGTAATAGTAATAGATAACAACAGGGAACTAAATATAGTATTTATCGACCAGGAGAAAGCTTTCGACAGAGTGAACAGAAACAAGCTGAGGAAAGAACTCGAAAACTACACTGTAAGAGGCCAACTTCTAGATAACAT